AAGTGGTTGGATTTATTTTATTTTTAAAAATTTTTTTAAAGATTTTTATTTATTTATTCATGAAAGACACATAGAGAGGCAGAGACACAGGCAGAGGGAGAAACAGGCTCCATTTCGGGGAGCGCGACAAGGACTCAATCCCGGGTCTCTAGGATCACACCCTGGGCTGAAGGTGGCGCTAAACCACTGAGCCACCGGGGCTGCCCAAGTGGTTGGATTTTTATTCTATTTGAAGCAAGAAGGGGCTGAGCATGTTTCAGCAATGTTGGTGAATTTAGGGAGATGAATTTCAGGGAGCAAGGGGGATGACCTAGAAGCAGGGATTACTGTTCAGACCCTCTTGCAATAGCCCAAGCAAGAGAAAAGTAGGACTTTGTCTAATGGTGGTGGTACAGAAAAGGAACCAACCTTCCATAAATCCAATGTAAAATCCTCCAAAAGGAAGAGCAAAGAATTCTCTTGCAAAGAGCAAAGGTTCTCTCCCTGGGAGAACCTCTGGCAGGAAGACTGAAGCAGCATCTGTGAGGTTTTCTAGTTTGCATCTCCTCTGAGGGTTCTCTGCCTTTGGGACCCCCGACCCTTCATCAAAACACAGCAACAAAGCCTCCTAGAATGGAACACTAGGCTCCTGGGAGCCCAGGGCAGTGATGAGTCCAAAGGAGAGAGATTGGGAAGATGTGGTGACAGTCCTGGGAGCTCAGCATTTAAAGGAGGTTGTGGAGTATAGACCTTGCTTCCTCACATTGCAGCTACTCTTCCCCTCCCTGCTCTTCTCAGACTTTTAGAGGACATTACGCTGTGTTCTATACATGTTCCCAATCCCAGGGCATGGATAAGTGGGAATCGGCCACAGAAAAGACAGATGGAAGAAAGTTTCCTGAGGACAAATGGATAGGATTTGGAATCAAACCTGATTAGATCTTGAGGAAATGAAAGAGAGAATAGAAGATAATATAAAGAAGGCTGAGTGTGGAATGGAGTGATTTAAGATCCTCTAGCTCCCTTTACACTGATCCCACCTGCCCTAAGCAACCTTCTGATGCTAATTTTGTTTCCCAAGTCGACTTTTCTGTAGGGATGCCATTATATTTCTCAGGGTGAATTAATAAATTGGGCTCTTGTGACTTAATCACCACCTCGGTGAAATGATAGAGTTGAGTTCTTGAACTTGCGAATTGGAAATTCTAGCCTAATCAACACCTTTAATGATCCACAATATGGGTCTGTCCTCTGATCATTTTGTGTCTCACACAATAGTCATGAAAATAGACTGTTTCCATAGTCACTACGTGTGGGAGTCTACAATAAGGGAAGCTAAAGTTATTCTCTGAGACTCAACCTCATAGAAACAGTAATAACATTTATTGAGCACTTAGTATGTGCCCAGCCCTCTTCTGGGCACTTTAACAATCCCCCTCTCTCTTTTTAAATTTTGTTTTATTTTTATCCTTTAAGAGGTGGGGAGGGGAGGGTGAAGGAGAATCTTAAGAAGGCTCCACACCCAGTGCAGAGCCCAACACGGGTTCAATATCACAACCCTGAGATCATGACCTGAGCCAAAATCAAGAGTTGGATGCTTAACCACCTGAGCCACTCAGGTACCCCTAATGATAGGTCTTTATTTATTTTTTTAAGAATTTATTTATTTATTCATGAGAGACACAGAGAGAGGCAGAGACACAGGCAGAAGGAGAAGCAGGCTCCCTATGAGGAGCCCGATGTGGGACTCGATCCCAGGACCCTGGGATCATGACCCGAGCTGAAGGCAGATGCTCGACCACTGAGCCACTCAGGCATCCCCCCCCCCGTTTTTTTTAATGGTATCTCTTTAGATACATTCTAATATTATGTCTATCCTAAGATAAAGAACCTGAGGCTCAAATAAATTAAATGATCCAAAGGCATACAACTAATATGCAGTGGGGCTGGGATCCAAACTCGGCAAACTTAACTCCAGAACCCTCTGCTTTTCACCTATTTGGAAAAGAAGTTACCACTACTGTGGTAGATGTCCACATGTTTTTTGAATCTGAAAAGATGAATCTGCAAAATGAAACTACCCTTAATCATCACTTGTAAATGTATTGCTGATGGTGTATTGAGAAATACCCAGCTTCAAAATCTTAAAAAAAAATAAAAAAGCATTAAGGATGCCTGGGTGGCTCAGCACTTGAGCCTCTGCCTTTGGCTCAGGGCGTGATCCTGGAGTTCCAAAATTGGATCAAGTCCCACATTAGGCTCCCCGCAGGGAACCTGCTTCTCCCTCTGCCTGTGTCTGCCTTTCTCTGTGTCTCTCATGAATAAATTAATAAAATCTTAAAAAAAAAAAGAGAGAGAGAAATACCAGCTTGATCAAGGAGAACTGGGAGTATCTGTAGAACTAGAATATGACTCCCGAAAGTTGCAGGTAAGTTAACTGTAGTGTAACTTCTGGGAAGAAAACAATACAAAACACAGGGGCATCCTTTATTCATGACTTTTTGTTTTGTTTTGTTTTCAGTAGGCTCCACACCCAATATGGGCCTTGAGCTCATGACCCTGAGATCAGGAGTCACATGCTTTACTGGCTGAGCCAGCCAGGCACCCCCATTTAATGACCTATTTCTGCACTTAGAACAGTACCTGAAACATAGCAGACTGGCCACGAGTATTTGTTAAACAAATGAAGAATGCCACTCAACACTGCCCTTCAGTCTTCGCAGACACATATGGTAAGTATTCTTTTCTTTCTCACTCTGAAACAACTCTATCTCTAAAGTTTCTTCTCTCTTCCAATGTTCAACACTGCCTCTCCCCACCTCCTTCCTTACTGTCATGTCAGCTCAACACTTTATCTCATACTTCATGGAGGAAGAAGCACTCAGGAAGCGACTCCAGAGTCTCTCGTTGCCACATTTACACACTTCCCCGCATCGACACCCATATTCAGCAGCTTCCCTCCTGTCAAAGTAGAAATGTGTCTCTAATTTCTACCCTAGACCAAACCTTTCCCTGTTATCTGGATGCCATCTCTTCTTGCCTTCTCAAGGACTTTTCTCTTGCAGTTTGTCCTCTTTTCTACATCACACTTTTTTCCTGTTTTCTTGTACCATTTCCATATGCATACAACCATTCTGCTTTGAAGTAAGATAAGAATATCCTTATCTTCAAGAATTCCTTCCAAAATCTCACATCCCCTTATAGCACAGCCCCATTTTTATGTTCTTTCACAACCCCCCCCAAAAAAAAAACAAAAAAAAAACTTCTCCAAAGTATAAACTTCCTCCCCTTCCCATCCTACCTTTTTTACTTCCTTACCTCCAGTTAATTCTTCAACTCTCTCCAACAGGCTTCCATACCAGAGATCCACAGAAACTTCTCTAGTCAAGGCTATTGACAATACCTATGACATCATATCAAATGGTCACTTTTTGGGGATCCCTGGGTGGCGCAGCGGTTTGGCGCCTGCCTTTGGCCCAGGGCGTGATCCTGGAGACCCGGGATCGAATCCCACATTGGGCTCCCGGTGCATGGAGCCTGCTTCTCCCTCTGCCTGTGTCTCTGCCTCTCTCTCTCTCTCTCTGTAACTATCATAAATAAAAATTAAAAAAAAATTTTAAAAACAAAAACAAAAACAAATGGTCACTTTTCTGTCCTCATCTTACCCAAACTCTTGTTAGCAGTCTACATAACTAACTGCTCTCTTCCTGCCACTTTCTTCTTTTGTCTTCAGGAATATTCCACCCTTCTGATTTGCCCTCCACGTCTTTGGTAGCTCGTTCTCAACATTTTTACTAGTTAGATACTAGTCTTGTGTGTCAATATTGGGTGATCCTGGACCCTCCTCCTTTTTTATGTTTGAGGATTAGAAGATCTAACAAAATAGGATCTACATTCCCCCATAGCAATAACTGGCTGGAGCTGAGTACCTGCTGCCTGGGTCATTTCTTTTTTTTTTTAAGATTTTATTTATTTATTCATGAGAATACACAGAGAGGAGAGAGAGAGAGAGGCGCAGAGACACAGGCAGAGGGAGAAGCAGGCTCCATGCAGGGAGCCTGACGTGGGACTCGATCCCAGGTCTCCAGGATCATGCCCTGGGCTGAAGGTGGCACTAAACCTCTGAGCCACCCGGGCTGCCCTGCCTGGGTAATTTCTTAATCAGTTTGCTATTTCAAACATCTGATATCCAGCCTGTTTCACTCATTTAGGTTATTTGCCAAAGGTTTATAGGAATATGAGTTTTGTGACCCTTGATTCTCACTTTCCCTAGGAGAGCTCCTCCAATTCCATTTATTTTTTTTAAGATTTTATTTATTTATTCATGAAAGAAACACAGAGAGAGGCAGAGACATAGGCAGAGGGAAAAGCAGGCTCCCTGAAGGGATCCCAATGCAGGACTTGATCCTGGGACCCTTGGATCAGGCCCTGAGCCAAAGGCAGGTGCTCAAATGCTGAGCCACCCAAGTGTCCCTCCTTCAATTCCATTTAAACACTATAAGCTTTTAAAGTTTCTTCTTTCATTTAACAAGTTGATTGCCCACAATATGCCAGGACCTGTTGTACCAGAGACACTAGGGTTACAGCATTGATAAAGCAAGTCATCCTACTTTCAAAGACCCTACCTACTGTTATACATCAGTTTTATTTCAATCAGAAAAAAAAAAAAAAACTTGGGGCATCTGGGTGGCTCAGCGTTTGAGCATCTGCCTTTGGCTCAGGTCAGGGTCTCAGGGTCCTGGGATAGAGCCCCATCTTGGGCTTTCTGCTCATCAGGGAGCCTGCTTCTCCCTCTCCCTCAGCCTGCCACTCTGTCTGCTTGTTCTCTCTCTCTCTCTCTCTCTCTCTCTGTCAAATAAATAAATAATAATCTTGAAAAAAGAAAAGAAAAATAATAAGATAAAGCCAATTAATATGAAAATATTACAGAAGAGCAAGGGGATAGAGAAAGCTATTTCAGATAGGGTCATGAGAAAATGTCTCTGAGGTGATACTTGAACTTGAATAAAATGAGAAAAGCAAGCTTTGCGCAGTGGCAGTATCGTAGCCAATGAGATTTATCCGAGGCGCGATTATTGCTAATTGAAAATGAGAAAAGTAAAAGTACATCAGAAAAAGGAAACAGTAGGTATGAAAGTCATGGGCCTTGTTTAAGCATGCTAAGGCCACTGTGTTTAGAGACACAATGGAGCAAATGAGATGAAGTGATAGGGAAGTGAATGTGGAGAGGTAGCAGGGCCCAATAAAGTAGGACTTTGTGGGCTCTGGTAAGGATGATGGGAAGCCCCTGGAATATTTTGAGCACAGGGATGCAATATGAATTATGTCTTACAAGTATTAATGTGGCTATGATATAGAGAATTGACTGTAGAAGGACAAGAATAGAAACAGCTAGCTTACCAGAAGGTTTATTACCTATATTTAGATGGCGCGGGGGGGACACAATATTAGTGAAGCGGCCTAGGGGGTATTGCTGAGGAGGTAAGAATGGATTAGATTTGAGAATATATTTTCAGTTTATTTTTTTTAAAGATTTTATTTATTCATGAGAGAGACACACACACACAGAGGCAGAGACACAGGCAGAGGGAGAAGCAGGCTCCGTGCAGGGAGGGGAGCCCGACGTGGGACTCGATCCCAGGTCTCCAGGATCAGGCCCTAGGCTGAAGGCAGCGTTGAACTGCTGAGCCACCTGGGCTGCCCATATTTTCAGTTTAGAGCTTGGATTAAACATGGAGTGTGAGATAGAGAATGGAGATGAGCATGACTCCAAAGTCTTTGGCTTAAGTACTTTTGGCAAAGTAAGTAGAATGAATACACGGTGGTTTACTGGGAAAGGAAAAGTTTGGGGGGCATATTTTGTGTGACATGCCTGCTAGATATGCAGAGGAGGCAGGAGGCAGAGTCTGGATGTCAGGACAGTGGTGATAGTTAGGTTCATTCTTATTATTTGTAGGGTCAATAGATTTATTGATATCTATTGATGATGTAAAGAATCAATCTCTCAACCCATGTATGAGTAGACAGATATACATATGACCATAAAATTTAGGGGTCAAAAGAATTGTTTAGTATTGCAAGAATTTTCTTCAGTCACTATGGGAAATTGTGCTAATTCATTAATTGTTTCCAAACTATGAATTAGAATGTGAAAGGCAATTTTAAAAAAGGGACATTCACTGCTACTGGGAAATAATACTTGGTTATGCAAGAATATGTTGCATTTGTGCTATCTAAGAGGAAGACTATGACAAATTAATCTGTGTTTTCTTATCTAAGTACTTCTGCTGTTCAAATTCTCTTAGCACTGCAAAGCAGTGCCTGTTTCTCTTAAGTGACTCCACCTAAAACTGTAAAGGCCTTAGGATGCAGTTGCCTTTCAGTTTTGTTTTTTTAAGATTGTATTTATTTGAGAGGGAGAGAGGGAGAGAGCACGAGTGGAGGGAGGAGCAGAGGGAGAGGGAGAAGCCAACTCACTGCTGAGCAAGGAGCCCAACCTTAGGACCCTGGGCTTATGACCTGAGTCGAAGGCAAACGCTTAACCTACTGAGTCACTGAGGAGCTCCTCAGTTTTTTATATCATGAAAAAATACACATAAAATTCACTATTTAACCTTTTTTTTTAAAGATTTTATTTATTCATGAGAGACATACAGAGAGAGAGGCAGACACAGGCAGAGGGAGAAGCAGGCTCCATGCAAGGAGCCCGACATAGGACTTGATCCTGGGTCTCCAGGATCAGGCCCTGGGCCGAAGTCAGCACTAAACCGCTGAGCCTCCGGGCTGCCCTATTTAACCATTTTTTAAAAAGATCTATTTCTTTATTTGATGGGGGGAGGGGCAGAGGGAGAGAGAAACCCAACCCAACTCCACACTGAGCACTGAGCCGGATGCAGGGCTTGATCTCATGACCCTGATCTCAGGACCTGAGAGGAAACCAAGAGTCAGATGCTTAATGGACTATACCACCCAGGCACCCACCATTCAATCATTTTAAATATATGGTTCTGTGGCATTAAGTATACTCACATTGGGGATGCCTCGGTGGCTCAGGGGTTGAGCATCTGTCTTCAGCTCAGGTGTGGTTCTGGGGGCCTGGGATCAAGTTCCACATTGAGCTCCTCGATGGGGAGCCTGCTTCTCCCTCTGCCTATGTCTCTCATGAATAAATAAATACATCTTAAAAAGAAAAGTATACTTACATTGTTGTGCCACCATCACCACCATCCATCTCCAGAACTTTTTTATCTTCCTAAATTGAAACTCAGTACCTATTAAATACCAACTCCCTACTGTTATTTCCCCAGCCCCTTGCAACCACTGTTCTTTTTGTCTCTGATTTTCTTTTTTTTGTGTGTGTGTCTCTGATTTTAAATCCTTTAGGTACCTCACACAGGTAGTAGCACAGTGTAGTTGTCTCTGTGATTTACATATTTCACTTAGTATAATGTATTCGAGATTCATCTATTGTGTAGCATGTGTCCTAATTTTTTTCCTTTTTAAGGCAAAGTAATCTTCCATTATATGTATATGCCACATTTTGCTGATCCATTCATCGCTCAACTAATGCTTGTGTTGCTTCCACCTTTTGGTGATTATAAATAATACTGTTTTTTTTAAGATTTTATTTATTTATTCATGAAAGACACAGAAAGAGAGAGGCAAAGACATAGGCAGAGGGAGAAGCAGGCACCATGCAGGGAGCCCGATGTGGGACTCGATCCCAGGACTCCAGGATCAGGCCCTGAGCCGAAGGCAGACACTCAACTGCTGAGCCACCCAGGCGTCCCTAAATAATACTGTTGTAAACATGGGTATACAAATATCTGCTCAAGTCCTTGCTTTCAATTCTTTTGATGCCTTTTAGTGAAGGAGGACATAGAGCAAAAGATATGGGAAAGAGGTTCCTGAGCTTGAATAGTGGTAGTTACAAAAGCAAATATTTAGGGTTGTTCTTTGTGGTGAGTGCTAGATCTTGAAAGAAACTTGTGTTATTTAATATAGCTATAGTGTGTGTGTGTGTGTGTGTGTGTGTGTGTGTGTGTGTGTGTACAGAGAGAGATTTTTGCCAGGACAGGGTATCTTCGCATTGTATTAATGGGATTAATGGGCTTAAGTACCTAAATGGTATTAGAACTGGGTGAGTATAGCAGTAAGTGTAGATAGAAAAGAGGTTGGGGCATCTGGGGGGCTCAGTCAGTTAGTGTGCGACTCAATTTCAGCTCAGATCATGATCTCAGGGTTGTGGGATCGAGCCCCGAGTTGAGCTCTGTGCTCAGCATGGAGTCTGCTTGTCCCTGTCCCTCTGCTCTTCTCCCTGCTCATGTTCTCTCTCTCTCACAAATAAATAAATAAAATCTTAAAAAAAAGAAAGGTTGAAGGGCTGTGCTTGAGACGTTTAGAAGTCAGAAAAAGAAGGGAGAGCAAGAAAAGAAACCAAGAAGAAACACCAGGAGAGTATGGAGACTTGGAAGCCAAGTGATATCCAATGTTGAGGAATGATCCACAAGCTAGAACACTGTCAAGGGACTAGATAAAGGACTGATAATTTGACATTTGATACAACAAAAGTGGAAATTACTGACAACATTAAAAAAAAAAAGCAGTTTCAGTTAGAAGCGAGGATGAAAGCCTGGCTGAAAAGTGTTCAAGACAGAATGAGAAGAAAGTGCAAACAGAGGGTTTGGCCAGCTCTTATAGGAGTTTTTCTATAAGAAAGAGCAGAGAAACGGGGCGGAAACTAGAGGAGGATGTGGGGAGTCAAAGAAGTGTTGTGGTTTTTCTCCCTTGTTGTTGTCTTACAGCAGGGATATCACAACTGATGGCTCTGCATCTAGAGCCCTGCCCTCCCTGAAGTTCAAAGACATACTTCCAAGTGCATCCATTTGGATGTCTCATAGGAAAATTAAAATTAACCTGTCCCAAGCAGAACTCTTGGTTCTCTCTCCCCTTCTTCCCAATCTGTTCTTTCCTAAGTCTTCATTTTTCTCAGTAAGCATCATTGTCAACCATTCAGCCCAAAAGCCATGCAGTGATTTCAGATTCCTCTCTTTCCCTCACTCCTCATAACCAGTGCACCAGCCTGTTGGTTCTGCCCCCAAAATATATCCTTAATCTATTTACTATTGGGACTGCTACAATAGCTTCATTCTTGCCTCCTACCACCTAATTCTGCGTGTGGTGGCAGCAAGAGTGTAAATCAGATGATATCATACGACCACTTAACACTTTCCAGGGGTTACCTGTCACACTTTAAAAGATTTACTTATTTGAGAGAAAGAGAGCATGCGTTGGGGGTAGGGCAGAGAGAGAGGGAGAGAGAGAACCTCCAGCAGATTTCCTGCTGAGCGTGGGGCCAGAGGTGACGCTAGATCTCACAACCTGAGATCATGACCTGAACCAAAATCTAGAGTCAGATGCTTAACTGACTGAGCCACTGAGGCACCCCTACCTATCCTATCACCCCTAAAATCCCCACTGCCTACCTTGAACTATAAAATCCTATATTATCTTGTCCCTTTCTCCTCCAACCTCATCTCTACCACCTTCCCTGTCTCTTATTACATTACAGATACATTGACCCTCTCCCCAGCCTACTCAATCCTGCCTTTTTTAAAACCTAATTATTTGTATTCTAAAGATACAAAAAAAGATACAGAGAATATTATAGAAAATCATGTGTCCACTACTTAGATCTAACACATTAATATCTAGCCACATTTGTCCATTAAAATACCATTGTTCTCGGGGATCCCTGGGTGGCTCAGCAGTTTGGCGCCTGCCTTTGGCCCAGGGCGCGATCCTGGAGTTCCGGGATCGAGTCCCATGTCAGGCTCCCGGCATGGAGCCTGCTTCTCCCTCCCCCTGTGTCTCTGCCTCTCTCTCTGTCTCTCTATAATAAATAAATAAATAAATAAATAAATAAATAAATAAATAAATAAATCTTAAAAAAAATAAAATACCATTGTTCTCTTAATCTCTATTACCTGGGAAAATGCTCAGCACAAAATAGGTGCTAAGCAATCAATGTCGATGTTCACTATGCTAATCAATGTTCACTATGCTAATATCTGAAATTTTCATTCATTCATTTACTGGCTATATACTTCTGTGTGTGAATATACCATAATTTATTTATCCATCTCTCCACTTTTGAAC